ACTCTATTTTAAAGTTAAAATTTATCATTTAGTGCAAAAAAAAGTTTTTATTTTTTAAAACAAAAGTTGGTGACAATTTTGTTGTCATAAAATATGTTATTTTTTAAATCTCACCAATAATGATTTTTTAAAAATAATTTTTTTATTATTTTAAAATTGTTAATAACGACTTATTATTTTAATTATTTTTTAAAAAAATGTCATCAATGATTTTTAAAGAAAACCATGTTCATGAAATTTTGGTAGAAAAGTCATATTTTGATAAATTCAAAATAAAAAAAAATCATATGAAAAAAACAGCAAGAAGAATTGTGCTTTTAAACTAGAATCTTGTCCACTTTGCCGCTGTATAATGGTTGTCCCTTCGTGTGGGATCACTTGGTGACCTCTTGTGACGACATTAACACCTGACTCTAATAAATAATGTTTCATAGTTGTTAGGTTTTAATGAGATAGACATTGAGAATGAGAATAAAGTTAGAGTAGAGAAGTTCAATACTAACAACAGAAAGTTGATACATAAAATATTATTTTTAACTTTTGAATTTAAAATTGTAAGAAAAATAATAGATTTAATTAAAATAATAAATATATATATATATATATATATATATTAATACTAGTATTTTGAACTCATATACTATACGAAAGTATTTTATCAAAAATACAAATTTTAAAAAATTATTTTAATGAATTAAATATTTATAATGTATATAAATTTTAAAAGAAAGAATTTGAATAAAAGATAAATAGTTACAATAAAATTTTATAATAAAGAAATATACGTGTATATTAAAAAAATTATACTTTTTTATCTGAAAAAATTAACAAATAAAAATTAACAATAATTTTTTATATTTATATCTTTTCAAAAACTTCTTTGAACGTGAATAAATAGTAAAAATAATATTATTTAGATTCAATAGATTATAGTTGTGCTTGTAATACATATGTTGCATAGAAAAATATTATTTAAATTAAAATATAAAAATAAAATTTAAATATTATTAATAAATAATAAGTTTACGGTAATAGTAGGTAATTGTAAAATTTATAAAATATTTACAATATATTTATTATTTATCATTCATTTTATGATTTAAACATCAATATGATTGTATTAACAAAAATATTTGTGTAAAAAAATTTTATGTGTGTCATATATAAATAATATTTAAAAAAAAGTCAATCTCATATTAACTATGTAATAATTAAATTGTATTAGCCTAATTAAATGATATAAAATAGTAAATAAATTTTTCTATTAAAAATATAAAGTAAAATAAATTTTTTGGTTTACTTTATTATTAAATATATTTTAATATTAATCTTATATAACTTCACATAAGTAATATAATAATACAAAAATTCAATACATAATTATAAAATAAAGTTCAAGCATATATATATATATATATATATATATATATATATATATATATATATATATATATATATATATGCGGGTATGGGGCAGGGTGGGTATCTAGATACCCATACCCGCACCCATCCCCATTAAAATTTACAGGTTTTACTCACACCCATACCCGTACCCGTATAGCGGATAAATACCATACCTATTATGGGTAAATTTTGCGGGTATCCATCTGGTACTTTACCCATTGTCATCCCTAGTTATACCTTGTAAAAGTTCAATTTTGGAATTGGATACATGTCAAGACACTAGTCTTATTTTAGCGGTGTATCAATCCAATTGATTGTCTCACTCTTTTACGATGTAACGAGGTTTGAATACCCTTATACTCTCTATTATATATACTTCTTTGCTCATAAAAAGAATTAAAATTCATTTATCAAAATCAAATTATAACTAAATTTAAAACAGATGATGGGCCCCATGTCCTTAATTAAAATACTAGTCATGAAATTAAAATTAAAATCATTAAACAAAAACAACATATTTAATATCTTCAAAATCTAAAAGTATTCATGAATACTTCTTTATGCAATTAAAATAGATTTAAAAAGAATAATAAATGCTTCCCAACAAGTCTATATAGTTAATCTGTCCAGCTTTCAGTTTTTAAAGTTAACAACATATTTATATTATTTTAGGTAAATAAATATATTTTTGAAAAAAAAAAAAAAGAAACATTGTTATTAGAAACTTGTTATTTCCAAAATAACTGAATCCAAACACAAAGTAATTATATTTTTGCATGTTTTTTCAGTTCACTGACAAGAAGCTAAGAATATTACAAAAATTAAATATTCATTAAATGAAATAAAAAAAATTAACCTAGATATGTTCCCAGTGTTCCTCATATTTGTCTAATTTCTATCCAACATGAGGTAACAAATCTTTTAGCTTCTAAGGTTTGTTTTCGAAAGCCAGCAGGATTGTGACCCCCGGGTAACTAGGTGACTTGTAATGCTGTCACAGATTTTCCCTTTACAATTGTTCGAAAACTAGAATAGGATTTTTTAATTCAGGTGATGAGAATTGAAAATCTTAAATATAGAACAAATTCATATGTCTGTATTTATCGGAGAGTCTATTCTTAATATAGGATTTTCTACGTTATCTTCTTGAAAAATCGATTCGTTTTCTACTTTTGATGATCATTCATTATAAAAAAATTATAAAATTATAAAATATTTATTAGTATAAATTTTGATTAATAAAATTAAATTATTATAAATATTTTATTATACTAGTATTAAAAAAATTGTTTAAATAATTAAACTATATTATATTGCTAGTATAAATTTAAAGTATCTAAACTAATATTTTAATTTTAATTTTAAAAATCATATTAATAAAATTAATTCAACATTAAAGCGTTAGTAAGTAGAAATTTTTTCACATGCAGTAATTAAAATCTAATTTGTGAAAGTGTGATATGTAGCAGTAAATGTAAAATTAACTACACGGCTTCGCCGCTCCGTGTCTACTCTTTCATTTGAAGCGATACTGAAGAGATGTAGTTTTTTTATTTTGTTGAAAAAAGCCATAGGAAAGAAACCCCTAATTTTTTATTATTGGTTTGTATGGAAGAAAAATAATTGGATGAGCAAGAAAATGGTGAAAGGGAAAAGAGTGCAATTATCTATTTTGAACATGAATGGTTTAGGATCCAGGAATGAGAATAAATTAAGGTAAGTTTTGTCTCTAATTTATTTAATAATTTTGAAGTATAAATTTTTTATTATTTTATTAAATTTAGACTATTTATTTAAAGCTTGATTTGATTTATTAAATTTTTTTAATTATCTATTTTGTATTAAGACCTTTAATAGACTATTAAATATTTTTATAAATAAATTATCAAATCATCTAAATAAACATATCTCTATAAATATTCTAAGACATATTCAAATAAGTCATTAAAAAAATAGTTCTAACACCTTAAATATTTGTAATAGAATTATATGCTCTTATTTATCATTTTTAAATTATATATTTGATTTAAATAAGTAAATCACTAAATATATAACAAACATAAATGTATATTAATGTTATGTATATAAGATAGATAAAGTAATAATTATGCAAAATACTACAACAAGTAAGATTCTCTCTTTTAAAGAGTACATAGTAAAAACACTTTTCAACATTAACAAAAATAATTAAAGTTTCTAATTTCATATTTTATTATTTTAAAATTTAATTTATTTAATATAATATAATAATATTATTTTTATATAAAATTATTTATTATATTATTATAAATTTTTATGAGTTTTAAATAGGTCATTTTATTAGGTTTAATAAACTTTTTTTATAAGCTTAAGTTTGACTTATTCAATTAATTAAGTCTCTTATTTAAATAAACTAAAACAGACTAAACTTTAAAAATTGTTAAGTAATAGGCTCTTGTTAAATAGTTTGACATATTTTCACACCTAAATTTTGACTTTTTCTGGTTTATGCAAGAATTGGATGTTGAGTTTCATTTTTGTTTAAATGAATTTAATTAAAAGAAAACATAATTTAAAAGATGAGAGAAAAGTGATTGAAATGCATTTCATATATTTAATTTATCTTTAAACTTGAATGTGACTCTTCATTTATATTTGAAAAGTTTTTATTTTAAAATGCACTGAAACTATTAAGATATAACAGTTATGGTCCCAAAAATTGTAAAATTCACTTAAAAAAATTCAATTAACTTCAGAAATTTATAAATGTTCACTTAAACTTATTATCTAGTCTTATTTTTTTTAATACAAATTCAAATTTGTTTTAATCAAAATAAAATTAAACGGTCAATTTTTGTGTAAACTAAAGAAGATCTAAATTTGTATAACTTACATTATTTTTGTAATATATATTTTATATTTTCCTTTATTAGATGTGAAATTGTTTAATAAAAAAAGAAAAAAAACAGATAATAAAAAAACTGTTTTACCAAATGAAACAAAAAGCATAACTAAAGCTGATATTTTATACTTAAAAAATAAATATTAACTATTATTATAAAAATATTATTTAGACATTAAAAATAAAACTATTAATATCTCAGTTCTTATAATTTTAATAAAATATTAGTAATATTTATAGCACCTTAAAAATTAAAAGAATATTTTATACTTTTCACAGCATAAAATAATAATAATTATTAATGTTACATTAAATATATATAATAGATAGTTAAAGTTAATGATTAATTTTAAAAATATAAATATTTTTTAATTTTAAAAATTAAAATAATTGTAATTGTCAATTTTAAAAAAAAATGTCCATCTAAATTTACGGTGGGCTAAGCATCCACATGACATATTTTGATTATTAATTCTCTAGCAAAAGTAGAAAAAGTGTGCTTTTCTCCTCATTTCCACACACCACATTCATCGACTCGCTTTCCCTAATTGGTTGGCTTCCATTCCGAAGCGGCGAAAGCGTCTCGCAAACCAACAAGCACTGATACCAACATCACGAACTCCGCCAAACCCCTAACTAAAAAGGAAAGTGAAATTGACTAAGTTCAATTCAACAATAATTAGTCCTTTCCTTCCTCAGTAACTAGCCAGGTTTCTCCTCATGAAGTTCTCAACTGATTTTAGTCAAACACTACTCTTGTCAATTTAAACTAGAACCCTAACTATCATGTGTCCCTTCCACAAAATAGCTCCACATATACTTTCAACATTAACACTTTCACTCTTCCTTTTCACACAGGTAGGCCTTTGAATTATATTATATATATGCTATGCTGATGCTTTGTTATATATTCTTTGTTTCGTTATAACTTAGCAAGCAAAAGGCTAACGCTTTGGTGATGGGGCATTTTATTATATACCGTTTATGCTAGTTTTTAGGCTATAAAGCTTTGTTTTGAATGGGGAAGAAGAAGATTCAGATTAACAAGATCGATGATGCTACCACGAGACAAGTGACGTTTGCGAAGCGGCGAAAAGGACTCTTCAAAAAAGCTGAGGAGCTTTCGGTTCTTTGCGATGCAGACGTTGCTCTCATTGTCTTCAATTCTTATGGGAGGCTTTTCCATTACTCCAACTTGAGGTCTTAATTTCTTTTCTTATATCTTCTCTCTCTATTTTTGGCTAATTGTGAATGAAAATGGGTGGCGTTGTGTCATTTCTTGCTTTAATTTACGCCCGTGTTTCGGGATGTTTTGTCATTATTGCTAACATCTCACTACTACAGTGCATAAGAAAATGTGGACAATTAGTGTCAAACTTGTATTTTATTAGATCAAAAGTGTTATTTATACCCCTTGTTTTTACACCACATTCTTGCACCTTCTTCATTTCTACTTCACATCTGCATGAGTACGAGATGACTTGTCTCGAGATTCATGGAGATCTTCAAATTTATTGACTTTAATCATAACTGAATTGTATGGTGTCCCATATATGAGATTTCTCACCAGTGCTTAAATAGCTTTAAATGAGCCCTGTCTTCTATATTAGTTAGCTCGATCATTTGCAGTTCATGAAGGGCCTACTTTTCTCGATACTTCCTACGAAAGTTTAGAAATATTGCTTTTTTAATAAATATGCAAAATATCTTTTCAGTTAGGATTAAGCGCAAGTATATTGGGTTAAATTCAAAAATATTATTTGCAATAATTGTTAATGCTGAGCTAGAAATCTTCCATTAGTGATGCAATTTACATCCTGTTGAGCAAAATAGATATGCAAAAATATGATAGATTTGTTTATTAACTATCTATATTATTGATTAGAGTAAACTTTACTTGGTTATACAAAGTTTAGGGTGTCATTACATTAACTGTTCCATCATTTTCTCCCCTTAAATATCTAATACATCATCAAAGATTCGCAGTTATTGATCAAATATTTTGTAATACTAATTTGATGACATAAATATAAAAAATGAGATAATTAGTTTTTTTAAAGATCTAAAATGTAAATATATCCTTCTTATAAACGATTAAAATATTGATATAAAAAGACAAATTTGATGACATAAATAATAATTAAATTTAGCAATAAATTAAAGATTTAAAACACAAATTTGGTGATAATGGTTAGAAGACTGATGCGTTGTTTCGATATATATAGTTACCAATTTTAAGTTTTAAAATATTTAAAAATTAAAATTAGTTTATAATTTTAAAATTTTGAGGTTTTGAGTTTCTAAATTTTTAATAAAAAATGTTAACTCTAATTATACAAATCATTCCTCGTTTTCAAGCTTGTTTGGTGTCAAGGGTTATGATTGGAGGTTGGGGATGGTTGAGACTACAATGGTATTAGCGGTAGACATGTAATAATAAAATGAACTCAGTAAAAGAGACTATAATGGTAATAGAAATAATTGTAATAATAATAGTGAAGGTAATAACGATAATAACAATCATAACATTTAATAGTGATTGTCATGTTGAAAGTGGCAATGATAGTATTTTGTGATGAAGTTGGTGATGACAACTGTGATCAGGTAGTTTATGATAGTGATGACGAAGATAATATTGTAGGTATAGTGATGAAAATTATTCTTGATCTTTTGAAGAAATAAAAAATTTGAATAATGATTTTTTATAAAAAATAAAACCACATTTTAATTTGAAAATTGAGTTATTTTTTTAAATTGTATTAAAAATCAATTTATCTTTATTTCAATTATAGTTTAAAATTTGAAAAAAAAAATACTAAGAGTCTATTCAAGGTAGTTGTGAGAGGTTTTTTTTTTTATTTTTATTTTCAAATGAAAATTTTAAAATAAAATATGTTTCCCTAAAATATAACTAGGTTAATTTTTAAATGTGCTTTAAAACAAAAATAGTTTTTATTTTTAATTGTAAAACAAATTATTTAACTCTTATCTCTCTTAAAACACATATAGCAATGACTATTATTACTGTCGCAGTCAATCTTGTCAGTATTATCATAAATTAATTACTATCATAATCATAAACATTACTCGTCACCACTAAGTAAATTATTGTCACTATCTTTACTGCTTCATTATAACCAATATTATTGTTATCATGATTATAATTATTATTATATATTGTCATATTTAGACATCCGACTAGAATTAGAGTTAATCCTATAATCCCAAAGCTTAACTTTAAACTAACGATGATTTCATTATCAGAGACAAATTTGTTTTAAATAAATAAATTATCTAATGCTAAAAATTGAATCCGTCACTTGACATCTGATGCCCCGAATGATCCAACATAATCTTTACCGATATCTAAAGAAAATAAATAAATAAAAGGGGTATACATCAAACATAAACATAATTACAGTATCATAAATGTTATACAGACATAAGGAATCAATGTATCCAAAGAACAAATTAATCATAACATGGAGTTTGACACTCAATTATAATTATACATAGGTATACTTAAAAAGGTAAACAAGATAACATAATTATTTTTATAAATTTCATTATCAATTAAATAGTTTTTTCATGATCTTAATCTGTTATTTATTTACAAAATTGATTTATAAAAAAATTTAAATCAATTTTAAAATTTTAATGATTCCTAACGGACTTAATGACACAAATAATATGTAGTTCTTCAGGTTGAGCAGTAGTTTTCCGTTGTCTATATATTTTGTTGATAAACTTTTGAAGTGGGCTAGTAATGTTGTTTGGTCATTGCAAACAGTGATTATAAAACACAAATAAAGCACATGTTGATCTCCAAATATTCATCAAAGATTAGTAATGTCTTTGTTTCAAATTTTGATTTTATAATATAACATTCAAAGCTATTTCATCAAATTAAGTTATTTCATACGTCTTCTTATTGGGCGCAGATTCGATTATATATATATATATATATATAATGTTTCATAAGTATAGATTAATGGGTGAGGATCGATCATGTATTGGTAGTGATTTGGAATTGTTTGTTAGAATTTTCTATAAAATTTATTATAGGATATAATTAATTTTGATTTTTTATTTTATTAAAAACTAGCTAATATTGTAATTCATTTGATGATGTTTAAGTTTATTAATAATATGATTGATTAATCATGTGTTTTGGACACTTAATTCTGATCTATGTGGGATTTAGTATGGGCCTAACTTCTAGGTTCATGATAGGAAGCGTTTATAGTTAATAAATACAGTGACTAAGTCTCCTTTACTGTCACGGAAACACATCCGACTGCTCTTTAAGTTTGCTCCATTGTGAATATATGATTAAGATAGTTTAATTAAACAAAAAAAAATCTTAACTTTTTACTCATAAAAAGATTCGCAATTCACATAAGTTATTTATGATACAATTCACAGTGTCTATTACAAGTAAATCATTTTATTATTGTTATTCTAAATTTGTATATTGGTATTCTAAATTTATGTAATAAAATTCAACTGAAATTTATTTCTACGCTTGATGTCAGAGCTTTAATTATATGATTTAGAATCTAATTATTAATTTTTAAAATTAATATGAATTTAGATTAAACTATGCAACATATATTATTTTTTGTTGTTTGTATCGGTGATGTTCAATTCTTAAAATTAAATCAACTTTAATTAAAAAGTTCATACTTATTCTAACCTTGCTAACTTGGATGCATCCATAATATAACTTTGATGCTTAATGCTTGGTTTTTATGAAGGATGAAGGAAGTACTAGAAAGGCATCATTTGTACTCCAAGAACTGGGCAAAGTTGGAACAACCGTCTCCTGAGTTGGAGGTGATTACTTGTCTATACACTATTAAGTTATAGAGCAAAATCTAGCTTAAAACTATTTGGGTTGGTTCTGTATTCTCTTAGCATGGGAAAGGGCTTCCTTGATTACATGACGTTCACAATACCAAAAGACATTTTTTGTGCATGATTAAAGAAGAAACATGCATGGTTCTTTCAGATGACTTCACTTTCAACTTTTCTTGGCAAATTTCAGCCTATTTATGGACTTTTGAAAGATTACTTCAATTTATTTTAAAGATATTATTTTTTAATTTTAATCGTGCAAGATTTTGGCTTTTGCGAGTTTAGAGGATGGAGAAGGGGAGTAAATAAATAGAAAAAACTTCTCAATTTGAAAAAAAACTAAAAAATAAAAGTTTATGAGAATTTTAGAAAGTTTATAAAAAACATTTTTCACATGCAGTTAAAAACTCACAAATAAGAGTTACTATCAAATATTTTTTTTTTTCTTCTCTCCTCTAGAATTATCTCTTAAACAAAATCTTAAAGATTAAAATAATAATATATATGGTTAAAACAAAAATCTGAGCACAAACGAACGAATAATATTGTTTCTCATAATAAAAATGGAATATCTTCTTGATGGCAATTGTAAATGGTGGAGTGAATATGTACGAAGATCTTTAATGATCATGTAACCTATAGTAACTGGTATTTTTTTTTAAATCATAATTTTTTTATAAGGGGTAATTCTATTTAAGTTAGAAATATCTAAGTTATGACATTAACTTTGTTCAGTGAGATTTTTTTTCTATATACAATATTCAAATGTATATCTTATTTAAGAAAAATCAAACATGTAGTACTTGAATGATGGATTGAGAGATAATTTATAAGTATGAACTTTTTCCTTAATCTGAAGAAAGAGTTTCCCTGTGAGATAAAAATCCTTAACGTCACCTAGAACGTACGAGATTTTCCGTTTGAATTTACAGGGGGAGATGAGTTAATTTGGTCTAAGTTAGTTTGTTCCAACTTAGTCACTTTGTTGCAAGAAAACTGTCCAGCTTTCCAGTGTCTAGGCTCAGGTACAATTTTGCATTGTTCATGCAATATAGCTAATTTGACAATTATTTGTATAATTAGGTAACTAGCTCATGATTGATGCCTCGTTTTATAAGGCTAGGTGGTGGTGTAAATTACATTTATTCAAGATAAACCTTCTTGTCTTCTAAATATTGAGTAAGTTGCCTCAAATTTATATTATAAACTATTTTGGTACGTGGAGTTACCTTCGAATTCGGTTGATTCTCTTTTTGGGCCTATCAACAATAAAAATATATTAATTTTTATAATAATAAATTTATCTTTATCTCTCTTTATGTATAATCACATACTTTATAATTCATTTTTCTTCTTAATTGGTAAAAAATAATATATTTTTATAATAATAATAATAATTTTTTTTATTGTCGTAATTGCAATTCATGTAGAGTCTTTGCAACAAGCTCGAAAATAGATATGTTAAATAATATATTCAAATAAATTTTAATGGCTAGATTAAACATTGTATATTTTTATTGTAAAATTTTCACAATGAAAGGATCTTAGTCTGTGCAATACTTTTATTATAAAATTTGAAGTTTGACATTTTTTTGTTAACCTTTAAATATTTTCAAGTCTTCTAAAAGTAAGGAACGCTCCTATATCATGTTTAAACCTACTCTTCATTTGTTCACTCTATTCTATCAATTTAGTATGTCCATTAGATCGACTTTGACAAGTTCTATGAAAATTTCAATAGAGCAATTTCAATGTCTTCAAGTAACGAGGCTAGGTTGGATAACTTCTTAAAATACCAGTTAATTAGATCCATATTGCTACGTATGAGAGGAAGCTACATACTCACCCATTTCATCCTTTTGTATTAATAACAATGAAACATTCAATTAGAAATCCTTTGTGTTCTTGTAAGATCTTATGCTAGTTTACCATAAAAGGGTAAAATGACTTGAATGCTTTTCCGGTTATCTCCACTTATCCTAACGTGGATAGGACAACAAATGAGCCATAACACTTTTTAGGTGATAATGACTAAATTTTGTTGTGAAAGCTAACTTGACTTTTATTCTTTATCTTTCAAGTATGGGTGATTTGGCATTTAAATATTGTCACTTCATAGTTAAATTCAGTCATGCATGGGCCTTTGTTTGATATATCAAAATTTTCTACCCCGTGGTGAGTACACTTGAAAGTATTTTGCCTATTCAATGTCTTTGCCATTTCTAAAGAGTAAGGTTCTCGTGAGAAGGATTGGATATCACTAGGTCTATAAAGATGAATAATTCTAGTTGTTCCATATTTCCAGTTTCCATCTCCTTTTCCTTGTTTTGTTTGAGTTTGAATTTTCCTTTGTATTGGACTCCTATGTTTCTCCTTTCCTTTGAATTATAGAAGCTTGAGTGGACTTCTATGTTTCTCCTTTCCTTTGAATTATAGAAGTTTGAGTAATTTCATAAATTAGTCTTTGAGATAGTGAGGGTCAAACATAGTAGTCTCTTATTTTTAAAATTACCTCGTTAGTCTCTAATACAGCAGTCCGGCTTGCAGTTAGGTCCCTGACAACAACTGATGGGTGAAAAATGTTAACTTTTGTTAACATATTACATCAAGTGATATGTGTGCGTTGTAACTTTGCTTCTGTCGTGCAACTATCACTACGACCAACGTGATTAGTCCACTACACAATCAAAATCTTGCAAATCAAGCTTGCATCCCCTTCTTCCTCACATCATCATCTTCATCATTGAAAATCTGAGTTTGAATATATATGTTGTAACTCCACCTTTGTCACAGAGTCACTACTTATATCAGAATTAATCTTGCAAACTAAACTTGTATTTTCTTTATCCTTGCATCGTTGTCTTTATTGTTGAGAACCTGAGTTTGAACTCTCTTTCTTGCTAGTGATACTTCTCTCGCTCTTTCCTTCTTCAAATCACCTTTGTCATAGGGTCGTCGTTGCAACCACCATGGCCTTAGTCTGCTACTTAAATTGGAATTTAATAAACAAAATTCTCTTCCTCTTCCCATCATTGTCTTCAATGATGAAGACTTTTTCTTGAATGGTCCAACCTTGTCATGCTCATTCCTGTTGTCGTTAGGCTCGACGTCATATCTTTGACGTCCTAAGACTAAAAATATAGCAATCAGTTCCTATTTTCACATTCCTTAATTTGAAAAATAATAAAATGACATTGTTTTAGTGTCACATTGGCATCACACATGTTACTTAACAAAAGTAAATGTTTCTCATACATCACTTAACATTAGTGATCAACTATCTAATATATTGCCATATTAGAGACTAATGAAGTAATTTTAAAAAGTCAAAGAATCATATGTTTGATATGCTTATTATTTCAAGGATTAATCTATGAGTTTACTCTTAGAAATTTTAACTAATCAATAGTATATAAATATTAAAAATAAGCCTAACTCACTTCTGAAAGTTAGTTCATAACTCATGGGATGAGGATTGTGCAAGCCTATTCTAATAGGCCTCTTTTTCGATGCTAAGCTTTATATAGAATATTTTGACATATTTTTCTCATGCTTAGAAATGGACATTTGATGCATGAAATTTTTGTAATAAAACATGTGAGTAGCTTAATATTTAAAATAAATAAAATTTGACATCATATTAAAAAATTAGGTGAACTTATTTTCAAAAATTAGTTTATAAAAAAGATTGTTTAAACTTATAAAATATATTCTAATCGCATTCTATGTAAAATATCTTAACAATGGAAGACAAAAAGACTTTATTATTTCCTTTCTACGTCAAGGCCAAGGGAGTGGGCCAATAAAGTAACAAGTTATGTTAGGTTTTGTCTACGCTGAGCTTTTAGCGATTATATGTCAGCGTTGGTTTGCGGTTGTAAAGTGATGTCTTTGTTTTCATTTTCTATTTGTGCAAAGTAGAGTATAAAATCGACCACCCTTACTTTATGCTTGCTGTCAAATTTTATGCATACTCCAATTTCTTTTCCGAATAAAAGTATACTCAAATGTTTACTGCAGCTTATTAGCAACAATAACGCTAGATTAAGCGAAGTTTATGAGAAGAGTCTTCAGCTCAGGTATGTCTCATGATGTAACAGGTGCCTTTACTTGTCTTGACTCTTGATAGCTTGTCATCACTACACTTTTTAGTCTTTCTTGGACCATTAGGGCTTAATAAGTCACAGGTTTTGTTATATACTCTTGTATATGTTTTTAATAATTTTTTATTAAATATTAAATGAAAAATATAAAATGTATTTAATCTTTTTTTCATTTAATAATTAAAATGACTTATAAAAATGAAAGGTAGGATAATTACTCTAAGTTACCCCTAATTCTATCTTCATAAAATAAAATAAAATATAACTGATAATTTCGTAAATTGTCTCATTTGTTGAAATTCAAAAAATAAGTATAGACAACTAAAAGGAGAGGACCTTGAAGGTTTAGATATTGAAGAGTTACAACAACTGGAGAGATCTTTCGAAACACGGTTGCGCCACGTAATTGAAAAAAAGGTTTGCAGTTTTCTTCTGCAGCATTCACCAGCAAATTAAAATTTGCTTCATGATTATAATGTAATTTAAATCTTTGTAAAATTTTTCAGGAAGAGAAGATTATAAATGACATGAGGATTCTCCGAGGAAAGGTTTGAAATTGAGATTCATTCAATTACATGAGGATTCATACAATTAATATTTTTTTGTCAGCAAAAAATCACAATTAATATTGATAATGATATGTGGTAAAATTTTGCAACTGATTATTACAGTATATATTAGTGCAAGAAACTTATTCTCCTTTTGCATGTTTCTAAGTTCACATATTATTATGCTTACATTGTGGGGATATATTCGCTAGACTTTGACAATGACTTGGGTCTTTTTTTTATATAATATTTCAAAGTGATTCATTAAATTTCTTACTTAGATTGTTAATTCTGATTATCAGTGATAAATGGTCCTTAATGTGTTTAATTGAATGTATTTCCTCTTCTATCGACTAAACTCTCAACTACTGAACATCCAGGAAAAGCAATTGATGGAGGCGAACGAGCGACTACTGAATCACGGAATTGTATGTCTCTTTCTTTTAAGTCCTTATGCTTTTGTAATTGTTCATTTAAACATTATGTGTTCGACTCAAACTAGGTGACAGACATATCCACTGGCAAAAGACACAGTAGTGAGAACAATGGCAATTCAGACCCGTGGCTCAAATTGGGGTGAGTCCACTTTTAAAGTTGAATTTATATATCCCACGTTCTAAGAGTTTGAATCCTATCATGTGCATGAAAATAGAGAAAGTTACATAAACAAACCCTTACTCATGGCATTGTGATGTTACTTGTTAACATGGCATTATTTGTGATGTTATACTTGCTACATGAGAGGATCCAAATCCATCTTTCTAATTCGAGAGTTCTCAACTGTATTGTGTGATTGCAAGCATAAGAGCTTGATTTTAAGGGTGTATTTGGATACACATCATAATTAATCTTTTATTCAACAAATTGATTTTTTATGATAACTTATGTCATAAATCTCATCAATAAATTAACTAAAAGTAGCTTACATTCACTAGCTTTACTAATAAAATTATTTAAATAAGTTTTAAAAAACTTATAGAAATATAAATTATTTTTATAAATTGTTTATAAGCTCTTTTAAACAAGCCATAAGTCTAAAATATGTTAAAAACTTTCTTCTGCTAACTACATGCTTGTAAGCATGCAGCCTTAGTTAAGCTTTATATATTATTTTTGGGGGTAGGTTTTGGGGGATGGAGGAGGGGCACAGGCATACAAATGTCCTGTAGTTTCAAACACCACCATCATGGGAAATAAGCTTTTTTGCTTGAATTGTAGCATATAACTTTATACATGGATTTGCCTTATTAAATTTTTTATGCTTTTACATGAATTGCAGGCTACCATACTCCAGCTGATGGGAACTGTTTAAGTTGATACATAAGCTTACAAGCAAAGATAATCAAAGACCATATTGTAAAAAGAACAACTCCTATGTTTTAACTCGATTTTCAAAAACTCTAATTAATGGTTTTCTTAACTTCTCTTTTCGATTTTAAGATTGCACACGTGTGGGTAGTTATGCTATTTGGCTAAATTTGCCTGAGAGAAATCTCATTTTAGAAGATCAAGTATAGTTATGGTCATTTATTAAAATATCAACAATTAATATTTTTTATTATTACATAATTTATTATACATTATACTATCTTATCACAATTTTGACTGCAACTTTTTTAATCAATGGTTATAATTTAATTTTATTCTTTATAGTGTATTCTTCACTTTAAAGAGAAAAAAATTTGCATTCATCACCTAACTCGTAAGTTGGCAGAGTAAATTGGGAGTTCAATTCAAGAAACCGTACAATAGTGAAAATTTAATGGATACAAATGTGAGAAATATCAATGAAGCCTAGTTTCGAGTTCATTTTCATATCATAACCACAATAGTCCATTGAAGAGCTTGTTCCATCTTAAGGGGATCAAAGTGACGAATCAAATTGATTTTGTTGATCACATTAATTAGCTTGCTCCCCTTCTCATATCACCAAAAGCTAATCAAGGTTGCTTTATATATAGCAGTTTTATTATGTCAACCCTTACGACTAAATTTAAACCATTAATAATAATAAATTTTTATTATAAAATAAAGTATTTGTTACATTTTTTTATATTTCTGATTAATAAATACTTTATTTTTTAATAATCATTTTTACTTTTAAATGCTTAATCTCAATTTTAAAAATTGAAGTTGACATTTTAAATATAAAATCAATCATAAGATCATGTAGAAATAATCAATGATAACGTTATTTTATATAACTATGTTTTAAGATAGTTGATAACGGACAAGATATCAAACTTTTATAATGGTCGACAATTGAATGTTTTCGGTCTTTTTATCAATAATAAAATAAGATAAATTATAAAGAGATGTCATAATATACAAATGAAAATTAGTAGTCTCATAAGAGTCCCTTTAGAGAGAGAGAAATCAATAATCAATAATAAGAATATATATTAAAAAACTGAAAGGTAGTCAAGAGTTTAACAATAATCGTCCTTACATACATTATAATAAATCTGTCCATGTAGACGAGGGATGTCAATGTTTGAAAATATGTTTCCCGTACAATGACTGGTGTAATTTTATCTTTACTCAATAGTAATAGTTTTTATAAATTTATAAATTTTCTATGTAAAAATTTATAAAATTATTTTAAAATTTTTATAAGACTGTTGATAGTCTTTTTTAACTTTTCTCATGCAAATTTTAAATATATTCTATACATAAATGGTGAATTTAAAAATTAAAGCTTTCATATATGCTGATGACATTTTAATTTATAATTAAAAGTAGCTTTTAAATTAATAAAACATTGGATATTATTTTAAATTTTTAGAGTTCAACACAAAAAATTTTATGTACGTAGTTTATGGTGTTCAAAATTAAAACTTTCACATGCTTTACATTTTCAATTCATCATAAAAATTAACTTATATATTGATAAAATATTTAATGTCATTTTAGATTTTTTTTTCATGCTCTCTATGCACACCGGTCGCATTTACGTAGTACTCCCTCCATTCCTTTTTATAAGAAACAAAATGAAACATTTTCTTAGTCTTTATTATAAGAAATAAATGATAGATTCAAGATGCATTAATTGCTAAATTTCTTTTATATCATTCTTTTATAAGTATCATTAAATATACAAATTATTAACTACATTATTTAATATCATGGGTATTTTTGGAATAAAATTTATATTTATGAAAAACATAATATACTTAATTGCTTTCTTTGACCTTAGTGATTTAGTCTTTTGTTTCCTATAAAAAGGACTGGAAGGAGCATAATGTTTACAAAATTCACTTAAGCCATTTTAACATTGCTTAAGTGAAAGTTTTAGGAAAAAAAAATTGGTCAAGGGAAAAATATCACTTAAAGAGTATTCAAAAATTATTTAATAATATAATTTTTGTTTAAGCAAATAACTATTAACTTAAGGAAATAGACCTCTCTTAAGCAAATTCTAAAGATAAATAATTCTTGCATTTTTAGTTTAAGTGAAAAAAATAACTTAAGAAAAAATTGGTAAAATTTGTATAGTTATCACCACATAAATTTAACTTTAGCGAATATTGTATGACTGAAACAAATTTTGCAAATAATGATTTTTCTACATTTCTTTGCATTTAACTACATTTCTTTAGTCATTACTCATATTCTAATATAGCTAAGTTGTTCGTTGCTAAGAATATTGAGATGAGAGTATATGATCCTTTTCTTTATTTTAGTTAGTTTCCCTTACAACGCATTTCAAAGCATGACAATACAAAAGTTTCATTATTTGAATTGTTAGATTTATGAAATAGATTTACATGCTATTTATGAGGGTAAAATCATGTGCATGTGATATTCTAATAAAATAAACAAATACTTTGAGTCGCTATTTCAAGTAAAAATTACTTGATTTTATTCAATTTATTAGGTTAGGTATCTCTTTCAACTTTTAAACCTTTAATTTCAATTAGTTACTAAATTTATTAAAGTAGCGATTAGAAACATAGGAAATACTCAAATTAGTTTAAGAGATAAAGATAAAAGACATTGTATTTGAGAGAACATAATTAAATTTCATGTCAATATGAAGAAAATTCACCTTCGAAATTGTTATAGTTAGATTTTTTTTTTAAAATTATCTTCAAAAATTACTTCAAAGAATCTATTTTAAATATATAATATTTTTGACATCCTTAATTTATAAAATATTTAAAGAATTAAAATATAAATACTATAACTTTTAAAATCTATTATAATAAATTATTTTAATAATTTATTTATAAGTCATATAATAGAAAGAGTTATGTTATAAATTATGTTAGCTATAACCAATGATATATATATATATTTCAAGATGTGTCATGCTAGTATTTTCATGATCCATAATTTAAATAGCTCTAGATCTACTCTAGCTTGAGAATCTTACTATTTAAATTTGTTTAGATATTTTTTTCAAGAGATATTTTTTTCCTAGTTTTCACCTTAACCAAATTCAAAAGACCTTCCGTAATCTCCCTTAATTTGCACCGTTAACATTCCAGAATCCAGATTCCTAATCAATCATATATCATCTCATGAAATGCAGGCCTCTTCAGTGGTTATACATCTCTATGGTCTTATCACCCAAGGTTGTATCTACGCAATTAGCAGGCAAATTTACTTGCTTCACTGATTTTATTTACACTTGTTTCATGCATTTTAATAGTTGATATTTCGTCATCCATGTTTCATGCTGAAGCCTACAACGGTTGATTGAGGGAGTAAGTACTTCCCTACCTTTAGAGTAAGCCATCTAACACGAGTGGTTATTTTTTCTAAAAAAAAATGAGAACAAAAACCTACTAAATAAAGAAAGATAAGCATAAGGGAGTACCATAGGAGTACGGAAAATTTGTTGGTGATTGAGAAACAACTGTCATCTATAGGAGACTGCTTTGCACAATGTTACTGAAGAACAAAATAATTAGTTTATTTATCTCTGACATGTCTTTTAATGATATTGATACATCAAGTTTGGCCTAAAATCAACGAAAAACTACTGATGTTGCGATTACTCCCTCTTTGATTTGGAAAGGGCTTTCTTCCTCTGTGCAAGCATGTATGTGTACATATGAGGACTACCTGCATAGAATTATGTCATTCAGTCAGTTCAAGTTCAAGATCAGTGGAATAAATGTTAGTACAGTAGAGAGGAAGATGTTTTGTTCATGCCTGGAACGTAGATTCCCATTGCAACAATCGCGGCATAAAAGTAATCAAATGATGAGTTCCATTTATTGGGCATCCTTATGCAATACTTCTCAGATGCCTGAAAAATACTCTCTTAACTAGATAAGCCAAGTTATTGATAAATCATTTATTACAAATTTTCACTATTGTCAATCATCAGTAATATACTATCATTATCAACTCTCCTTCATTCCCCTTTTACCAATTTAGGAATCCTACAAAACTACGGGTGATCAAGGTTTTGAAATATAAACCAAAATCCAACAGTAAACTCAAGGGCAATCCAGAATAAGTGTTTTCACAGAAGAGAAAACTGCTATACAGTTACCTTCCTCACGAAACTAAACTTCACAAATTTCTCCTTGTATTGAGGAATTCCTCGTAGAATACTTGTTCTTTGTTAGATGATTAATACAAGGGCAGAAAAGCTAGATATATATTGGTGACCCACATACAAAAAAAACGAAACGATTTACTGCAGGTTTAGATCTAACAATTCTAAGAGAATTGAGGACATTAGCTATTCAGATTCTTTACCTTAATGAATGGCAAAGCAATGTATATTAGACCAACTTCACTGGTTATGCCTGTTGGATACAGAACTAAGAAGCTGCTATATCTGCAAAGGAAGAATTGCAGCAATTCTAAGAGGGAAATAAGATTTACCCCGTACTATACTCCATGAAGAAGACTTAACATTTAAACTTCATACCTAAGCCACAAAAGCCATGATGGAGCAAATCCAAAAGCCTCCTTGAAGCCAAAGAAAGAGAAGCGAATGATCTGCAATTGCAACAACAAGGAAGATTAATATGAATATTAATCTGTTGATACTCCTTTTTTTCAATCAATGATTTCACCATGGAAACAAAAGGACATGGATACCGGAAACAGAAGAAAAATTACAAAGGAAAATGGGGCACCAAGCCAAAAGGTTTTGTCAACCCAGCCTTTGCTTTAAATTTCAAAACTCAAACTATTAGGTTCGTGTAAGTTATAACCATTAAATCTATATATTAACACTTTTATGGACAGACATACCCAAGCAACTAATTACTGGCATCCTCAATCTCTAGGTGCTCTATTTTCATTTATCCCATTTCAGCAACAGGCTTTTTCATGACATCTCAGGATTGACTCTATAATTTTGGCAATAGAAACATGAATTTGTGATTTGTAGGATTTCGCAAGTTCAATATATAGAGACCACCAGCAACTCTGTTTTGTTCAAAACTGAGAGCATATATATATATGCATTCACAAACATAAAAATAGCATATGTCATGATATCCAGTTCAATATATGTCCATTTAAGGCAATTACAATCCCAAAAATTTACTGGGGCCTACATATTTCATTATAGGATATTTTGATTATAACAAAAGAAGCAACCTGAAGATAATTCAATTGCAATGTCAATAATTTAGTATTTTCCTTTTCTCGCTGGATTGGTAACTAAGACTTAAGGCAAACGTTTTCCATCACACTCTAGACTCTACATCCCATAGTTTCCTTTGCTCTATAACTTATAATCACCTTGTAACTTATAATCACCGTGTAACAGCCAGTGCTAACTTATTTGTTTTGTCTAATACCAAATAAGTAACACAAACAACAGACTATGCAGCTAACGTGAGTATCACATGAAAGAGCAATCATGAAAGACTTGCCTCAGTGATGGACCAGCTGATGAGCAGGGAGGTAACGAGTACATGAGTTCGAACCTGTCATTCAAAGATGTGGTAACTTTTCCATTAAAGAACATGACTGAATGCTGGATTAACAAATTAAATGGCATCGTGCAGAATAGGATAAAAAAGGGTTCTAAATTATGGTCTGCAACCAGAATTGTGGCCCCGATATCAAGGATTTTGTGGCCTCTGCAACCGCAATTGCGATCACATCAACCGCATTTATCCACAATCTTCTGCAATATCAAGCATCGTGACATAATTGCAACTGCGAAAGCAACTACAATTTAAAACACCGGAGAAAAAAAGTCCAAATTTGTCTTCACCTCAGGGAAACTCCATAAGATGCCCCAGACCAGGTACAGTCTTGAACTTATCTGTGGCAATGTTGCTGTTATTGGAGACCTCACCAGCCCTTCAACATTGAAAAAAAAGAAGTCCATAAGCAAACTAACTCTAACATCAATTTTTATCTTAATTAAGCATACAACTCTTCATATTGAGCAAGGGATTACTCACCAACCAAACCATGAAGAATCTAGCAAATCATTTAACAAAACGGCGCCCCAAAACAACAAAAAAAAAACAAAAAGACAATAGCATGAGCTAATTCCGACAAGAAATTTAAAATATTCCGAGAAAACAAACAAAAGGGTGTGTCCATGGCTAGGAAAAATAAAACTTTTCCTATCAAGTACCTCTAATACAGCAGCGGTTTGAGCAAAAAGCAAAGGTTTTTCTGCAGCATTGTAAACATGTTCATGACCAGATTCTTTCAATGTCTTCAGAGCAAGGTAGAGAACTTGAAACCTGCGCAAATTAAGAGCTTAAGAAAGAGATCTGAGACAAAAGGGTAACAGGGATGAATGAGTGTACCATCCAAAGAAAACGGTCCAGTTGTAAATGGAGAGGTAGAGGCGCCTTAGGAGAGAGAAGAAAGAAGCCATTGAAGAGAGATCTAGGCGAAGAAACTCGAGAGGAATAATTTAAGGGCGTTGGTTAATTATTAAGGGAAGGTGAAAGATGTGATGATTCTTTTTACACAATTCAAAACGGTTCAGTTGGGTAGCTCAACTCCTCAACCACTTTCATATCCGTAATAACATGTGCAAGTTGGGAACGGTTGTCCGTTGGCAGCCGCTGGACACGATGAAAGAATGAAAACCAAATCCATGTTACCTAGCTTATTAACTCTACCAAAAACGTGTCCGACAAATAATAACCTTTAAGATAACTACATTATCATTTAATAATAATTAAAAATTTAAATAATTTTTAAAAATATAACAACTGAATATATAGTTCTGTAAGAATCAAAATTAGAATAAGATTTTTTATGATATTAAAACTATATTTAAATCTTATTTTAACAATTATCATGAGTTATTATAAATACAAATACACATTAAGTTGTTCTTAATATTATTAATCAAATATATTTTAAATCAGTAAAATTTAAATGCATATTAATATAATTTTTAAATTGTTTAAGTTTTTTAGGTTAACAATTTAATCGAAATATTTTTCACTTGTTGCGCTCTTCCTTTACACTTTTAATTATAATAAATTGAATTTTATTTGTAACCAATATTAGTATAAAAAGTAAAACCGATATATTATACAACTTATAAAATATTTTATTTAAAATTTTTAACAAAAATGTTTATTAATAACTAATATAATAAAATATTTGTTAATAATAATTAAAATATTTATTTTAAAATTTATAAAATTAATTTAATTTTAAAAAGTTTATACAAATTTATATTAAATTTTTATTTTAAAATAATATTTTATTTTAATAATATTCATGTAGTATATGAAAAATTCACTAATATATAATAGATTTTTGGTAAAAATTATAGATTCGATAGTATCAAATGTTATAATTTTTAATAAAAAATATTATTTATTATTTTTATTATATTTCTTAGACACACATTAACAAAAATGTAGAATTAAAAAGTTTTCAATAAAATTAATTTGGAAATCTTACATTTGCATGTATAAAACTCAAATACTATGATATTCTAAATTATTATTTTTTCATTTAGAAAATCATTCAACTGAATTTAAATAGTTAATTTTTAACATTTTATTTTAATTATTTACTTAAAATAATATACTATTTTCACTTTATACATATTACATTCCACTTATTTTTGCTTACAGTTACATTTTTGTGTTATTATTTCTTCCATGAAATAGATTGACTTATAGTAGATTAAATTATTCTTTTTAATATTGTTTGATATTTTTTAAGCTTTTGCAAAAAAAATTGAAAAAAAATTAAGTATTTTATAAAGAGAACTCATAATTTAGTTATGTAAAGTTATATGTGTCATTACATTAGTCAGTCAAATAATTTAGTCATTATAATAATCCTCCAAAAATTTTGGCCGTAAATCAATTCTTCAAGGCCCGACTTATTAATCTAGTTATAAATTATTATAAAAAGTATAAAAAAAATTGTATATTCACCCCATTTTGATTTAAATTAGGATAAAATTAATATATATTAGTTCCTGTAAATATAATAAAAGTTAGTTTTAGTCGACCAAAATTTTGTCCGGTGATTTTATTTTTACATTTTTTTTAAAATGGTATTATTACATAAAAATGACTGGTTATGTATCTAAACATCACAGATCATATGAGATCTTAGACTGGTTACTTTCGATACATACCATGTTACTATTAATAATAATTGAAATTATTTTTAAAATATAAAAATTTATGTGGATAAAATTTAAAAAATTATAAAAATATATTTATAAGAATTAAAAAATTAAAATTTTAAATTGACGTTGCTGTGGTCTAAAATATGAAATTTCTATGTTTACTTTTTTCTAGGACAAAAAAAAAAAGTTTTGCTACACTTAAATGGAGTTCGGAGAATAGATAAATTAGTAGTTAAATTATTATGCAACAGGTTAAAATGAGAAAATTATAAAAATGAATTTGAAAATGTCAAAAAAGATAGACTTAATATTTTTGTTTAATTTATGAGAAAGAAGAAAAAATAAACAAAAAATTAATTATTTTGATAAGCTCGAATAAATAACTTTTTATATTAATTAGATAAAAAAAAATGAGAAGATTGTGTTTATAACTTTTAAGAGAGAAAAAAAAGAATATTTTGACCAAGATGTGAGAAAATAATTAATAAAATAATTAAAAATAAATACTAAAATGAGTGAAAGAAAATAATTGAAAAAAAATACCAAAAAATTAATTATAACATCTTAGAAATGTTAACAATCGGTCTTTCAATAATTTCAAACAAACTATGTTAAAAAGTTTGCAAGAATAAATAGAATATAATATGTCCTCCTTAAATATGTGCATTTATATATGTATAAAATAGAAAGTATATTCATTTATCTATCCATATCAAATTCTCAATATATATATTCTCCCCCTTTAACATAATCTAAAGAAAGACATCAACTACCATTGCAATAATATTTGCAAGCTACCATATTTGTATTGCATTTTGAGGTCAAAATTTGATAAGATGAGAAAAATAGTGAAAAATAAATTTTTTTCTCATACTTATTACTTTCTTCAGATAGTGAGAAGTTAATCTATTATATGAAACTCGTTCATATGTTAACACATGATAAGACATGTATCAACCTTAGATCTGTCATATTATATATTGCTTCATTAAAGTGACACTTATTATTTTTTGATGATTAACAAATTATACAAAAAATGTTATTATTATGCTCTATGATTGTGGTGTCATAACTTATAATTTATGTTTATGCTAATTTTTTATGAGTAAATCCTTTGACTAACATAGGAAAGATTAAGATATGTTACATGGTGATTAAGAATAAAAATGCTTCTATATCAATTTAGAAATAATTGTACTCATGATAAGTTCAACTTCTCACAACAAAATGATCATAAGAAGCAAGATATTGGTAAGAAAGTTGATTGAAAAACTTAAAGAAATTATTAGAAAGCTATTTAATTAACTTTAAAAGTAGAAAATTTTTAAAAGTGATTGAAGAGTTAAGAACCATTGACCATTGTGAAAAACTCTTCTCAAATTATTTTAAAGATGGCTAAGGGACAAAGAGACATTAATGAAAAAAAATGTTAATATCTAATTTATTTGTAACTAAGGTTCTAAAATACTAATTAGAATGTTTTTGAGTATAAAGTTGTTGATCAAACTAAACCACAAAGGCTTTGAAAAGAATATCATAATAACAAAAATGAACTACTATGCTATCATATATACTTGAGTTAATATGAAAAAATTAGAAAGATTAGCATAAAATACATTTTGTTGGTGACTAATATGTATACTTTTAGATTTTTTTTATTCTAAAAAGTACATTGAAATTTCCTTACATCTTTATGCAATAAAAATTAAGTAATATTGATCAATTAATAAGCTCAAAAGAATTCACTTAAAATCCCATAATTAAAGGACTAAGGACCTACTTAAATAATTTTTTCATTCACAAGTAAGAGCGTTTTAGAGTTAAGAATGGAAATGAAGGAACTTTAGGGTTAAGAGTTTGCACCATCAAACTCACATTAGAAAGTCAACATGCAAGGTGGACACTAAAGATACACATGTTTAGGTATTTGATATCAATTCTATAGAATGATTCAAAAATTAATGAAGATGTTACTCATATAATACAAATTAGGTAGTTAAAATAGAAAAAAAACATCAAAAGTTATTTATGACTGTAAAATATCTATTAAGTTAAAATGAAAGTTTATTGTAATATAATAGACCAATTATTCTATATGGTAATAAATATTGAGTATTAAAAGAACAACACAAAAGAAAAATGGACAATAGAAAAATTGAGAATGATAAGGTAAATGAGTAGTCGAACGAGAAAGAACAAAATAAAAAATATGACTAAAAATTGTCTAAGGTGATTTGATTACATGTAAAAAAGACCAAAACTTTGGATACATTAACAATAAGAGTAAATTGCATGACTTTTGGTCTAGTAAAAAAAGAATTAAGAGAAACATAAAAGAACTTTAGATGAAAATATAAAAATAAACCTTTTGAGTAATTAGATATTTCAAAATTTAGTTTTTGACTGAAATATATCATGTGATTTATGGAATATCTAGTAAAAATAAAACTTTGTTGTTGTTATTATTTAGTTCTTATTTATTGTTTTTAGTTATTATTATTTTTTACTATTTTTATTTTTAGTTCCTTATTGTTCTTTAATATATAATAATAAACATGGAATAAAAAAAAAGCTTAAATATATATTTTTTATCCTTGTTTTATCATAATAACTTGATTTTAACATTTTAATTTTTTTAATCTTTATTTTTTTAAAATTAACCGCTTTTGATCTTACTTGCTAATACAATTTAATAAAAAAAATTGATATGTAAACATAAAAATTTTATGCGTGACAATCTTAGTTAGCTATGTTATTATTTAATAGTAACTGAGGATTAAAGGTGCTGAATTTTAAAAAATAAAAAATAAAATAATATATATATATATATATATATATATAGAGAGAGAGAGAGAGAGAGAGAGAGAGTAAAATCTTCCAAAAGAAAAAAAACTAAAAATAAAATCTGGGAAAATTATAATAATTAAAAATTTATTTAAGTCATAAAAAAATAGGAACTTGAAATAATCTATAGATAAGGAATAAAAACAAACAATAAAAAAGGTAAAGATTATAAATGAAGACAGAGTAATCAGAGGAAAATAAATGAAAAAGAATAACGACTGAAAATTTATTTAAACCTGAAAAGTAATAAACATTGGAAATCAAGTGTTGGATCATAAAATTTTACTTGCTTTTATCTTGAATCAATTTTATTGGTTAGGGGATAGATACGGTGATTCTTTCAAGATCTATAACCCCAGATATAGCAATACAATCTCTACAAGTTCAGCATTCCCACTACATTTTTCTTATCTGATTTTAAATCTTGCTCAAGTAACTGGGGATAATTTGAGCAAAGGCTGCATTGGATAAAAAGTATACATAGGATAAGATACAAATAAAGAATACCATATATAATCTAAAGAAATGCACATGCTTTCAAACTGCATGACATTTTTGCTAAAAATACAAGATAGCTTATAGCTACACACATCCTATTTCTAGCAAATCCCTTTCCCATGGCAACTAACTGTTGAGCTCCTTGAATGGTGATCTTGTATCAGAGATGGCTTCATGTTTCTTTACAGTAGGAAAATGGATTAACATATTCTCTTTTACAAAGAAACCATCATCCTTTTCCAAATTCACTCCTGGACAATCATTCTCAGAAGACTCCACCATGCTTCTCAACATGTCCATAAGTTGAGTGTCTGCAGTAGAGAACTCGCAGATTTTATCACTTAATCCCTGAACAAAAGCCAACAAGTATTCCCTTTCTGATGACAGTCTTGTGGCATTAGCAAGTAAATTTCTATTCTCCATCTTGAGTTTCTGAAGCAAGGCATCTGACTTTCTTAGCTCAGTCTCCATTTGATCATTCAACTCCTTTACTTTCAACTGTTTTGCATCCAATTCTACTTCAGTATCCAATGCAAGTTGTTCAGATTGGCTCCACTTATCCTCCTGCAATTTCAGTTTCTGCTGTATAGCATGGATTTCATCCTCAAGTTCCACTACCATCAACTTTTTCTCTTCAATTTCAAGTGCAGCTAAAATCTGAGATGCTGTGATCTGATCACAAGCTTCTTGGATGAGGTTAACTTCAGCCTGTTTCTCAGCAAGCTGTGAAGCAAAGGTGGTCAACGAGCTAGTGAACTTCTGTTCGAGTGAAGTAACCTGCTGCATGAGTTCATCTATTCTCATATCTTTTCCTTTTATAAGCTGCATAAGATTATATTTCTCATACTCATAGGTACTTTCCATAGAGCATTTTACAGTCACAGCACTTTCATATTCTCTTCTAAATGATTCTTGTTCCAGCTGAGCAACCTCTTTCTGTAGCTCTTCCAGAATCTTGTCCTTCTCCTCCATGATCTGGTGATATCTGATATCATCAGACTCGGAGGGCACAGCTGATTCTCCCCTTGCTGGAGTAGAAGCTAAAGTCTCCTTTGCTCTTAGTTCATGTTCCAGTAGCACAATACGCTGCAGTAGAGAATCCAGGCTCCTCTCTTTCTCTTCCAACTTATAAACCAAGCAATCTTTCTCTTGCTTGAGGCTTTCCCCAACATCTACTTGTGCAAGAAGTGAAGTTTCCAGTTCTTTACGCATCACTTGATTTTCTTCAAGATTATTCTTCAAATGCTCAACAATTGATTTCCATATTTGCAACTCGAATTCCATTTCATTTCTTTCATATATTGTGTCATCCAATTCAAAGATTGCATTGTCTAAAGCAACATTAACTTCCTTAAGTTGTCCTTCTAATTGACATTCCATCTGCTTAGCTTTCTCTTTGAGGTTCAGCTGACACATGGTTGATTCCTCCAGCATTTCCTTGAGCCTATCAAGTTCATTTTGCAACATGCGCTGCTTTTCTTCATTGGATCTATAGGACTCAACCTGCATCATCAAACATGTAGCTCTCTCACGTTCTTCGTTGATGTTTTTTTGGGCACTGATCAAAGCAGCATCTTTCATCTCCAACTGCTTCATCAGTTGAAAAATATTTTCTTCTCTCTCTTTATTGATAAGATCCATCTCGTCTTTACAGCTAGCAAGCTTCAATTGAGCCTCAAATATTCCCTGTTCCAACACAAGCAGCATGACATCCATCTCCTCATTCGATAACTTCATCTCAATTGTTAAAGAATGAGCCCCTTCCAACTCGGTCTGAAGCTCTTCCACTGCTTCAATTTTACTTTCCAACTCAGACTGACAGCTATTCAGGTCAGCTGTCAACTGTGCTAACTTAAAGTTCCATTCAGCTTCGTTAGCCTTCAAAGTTGAGGCACACTCTTTGTGAGTTTGTTCCAAATTTTTAAGCTTGGTCCTCAACTTTGACTGCGAATATGAAGCTCCTGCTTCTTGAATTTGAGCTTCTTGGAGTTCTTTGAGGGACATCCGCAACTCTCGGTTTTCTTGCTCTAGCTTCGCCATTCTGTACTTTGATTCTTTAAGACATGCCTCTTTTGTTTTCAGTGAATATCTCAAATCTGCAGTATCTTTGTCACCGTGAGAGTTTAAGCAATCAAGCTGGAACCTAGCATCCTGGTATTCATTACCAGTATTATCAAGCTGCACCTTCAGATCTGAAACTTCAACTTCCAAACGCTTTTTCTGGCTTTCTACATGAGCAAGAGCCTGATGGCAAGCGTGTAACTGATGTTTTAGATCCTCTGATATTCTTATCTGAGAGTCTAACTTAATCTGCAGCGAAGAAATCTCATCAAGCAACATAGATTTTTCCATCTCCAACTCCTTCTTGCTAGACCTAAATTGGTCTCGAAGTTTTTCATGCGCTTCCTCTAGATGTTTAAACTGTTCCTTCTTCCATTTTAATTGATCTTCCACCTTCCTGGTTTCCTCCTCTAACTTCTGGAACATGTCATCTCTTTCTCGTAGTTCTTTGGATGCTTTTAAATTTTTCTCCGTCTCTGAACACTTCTTCTTTGAAACTGCAAGACAACCTTTCAGACTTTCAATCTCTTGTCTGCATAGATAAATATGTTGTTCTTGCTTGTTTGCCTTCTCATTTGCTTCCTCTAAGGCCAATACCAACCCTCTTTTTTCATCTTCCCACTTTTTAAACTTGTCATCACAATCCACTCGAAGTTTATCATTTGCTGCACTTAGGTGTTTGATGATGGACTCTTTTTTATTCAAACTCCCCTTGAGATCTTCACACACCTGCTTTGCCTCGGCAAGTTCATCTGCCTTTTGAAGCAGTTCTTGATTCAGCTTCTCAGCTTTCAACTTTGCACTTTGTATCTTATTGACCTGTGCATTATGGGATTTCTTCAGGTTCTCATGTGAATCCGTCTGGGCTCTTAGTTCTGCCTTGATTCGCTCGATTTCGGTTTTTGCTTCATCCAGCTCTTCATATACCTTTTCCATTTCTTTTTACATATATGACATTAAAAAAACCTGTTTTGCAAGCAGTGTGCAAATTAAAACAACGAAAGTTGCATGTCCGGACCAAAACCAAAACAAAAAAAAGGGACCGAAAATGAAAAAGAATATCGCATAAAACAGACATATATTGGAGTAAACACAAATTCGGCATTTCTACTACTTTGTGCGTGTTGGATAGGCTTATTTTGAGATTAACAAAGCTTTTAATAATAATAATAATAAAAACATCGTAAAAGTGCTTTAAAAAAAAATACAAAATAAAACAATGACTTCCTAAAATTAATCAGTTCTAAACATGCTTTAAATTTATTCTTTGATCTGTCTCTATCTCCCCTGCAGCCAAATGATAGAGTAAACAACAACAATTGGACGGAACAGGGAACATGTTGCTCAAATTTCTTTCGGGAGTGTTTCTAGGAAAACTATACGAAATGATCAAAATCATAGGAGAAATTAAATCTTGGTGTTGGTCATTAAATGATACTCTTTTCTTTGAGGAAAAGCATACACCCCCAAACACCCAGTATTTTCTTTTCCTAAAGAAAAATGCGCATTATAGAACGAGTAATTTATAATTATGGATATAAATTAAAATGCGCACTATCAGAAGGACTAAATCCCCTGAAATATTATGAACAGATAGACAACAAAAAATCAAATAAAATTAAAATCGGCATAACATGCTACAACAAAACTAATAAGTCATCTGATTACGTATTCTCTTTTTCTAATTTATCAAATTAGACCCAAAAGGTTTTGGGCAAAGCACAAAATTGAAATCATAAAGAACTTGTCAAGATAGTAAGAGAAACAAGTTTCAAGAGCATAGAGATGGAGCACAGAAACTGACCTGATTTGAAAAGCAGAAGAAAGTGTTGTGTTGGTGTGATTTGGTGACTTAAGATGGTGAAACGGGAATGGTAGAAGAGAGAAATGAATGACAAGTAACCGTTATAGAGCATTAACCGCTTTTCAGGGTAGATAAAACAAAATGTTAGTTTATGGCGATAGCATCCTGTTTTCGAAATGAAAAACTAGCCGTTTATTTTATTTTGGTGGTTGATCGCGGAAAAACTAGCCGTTGAAACAAGCTTGTCTCCAGGTGCGAATTTTATTTGGGCCCAAAATTGGTCTCTGTAGTTGGACTTTCGGCCCATCCGTTCTTCTAAGCTTATTTGTTTTTCTGGTCAACTAATAAGCGTGTTTTCCTTGCTGCTATCCAGGGTTGTGCCTGGATCCTTTTGTATTTCATTCCCCTGACAAAAAAGATAATTGCTTTTTCACCTTTTTTTACTTTTCGCCATGTCACTTTTTCCCCTAAAATATCCCTTCGTATAATTTACATCAATTTCAACACCCTTTTTCTTTCCTTAAACTCATCTTCCTCTTCTGGAATATCCTTGCAACAATGTTTTTCTTATCTTGAATTGGACACTAGAAAAAATGGTTTCTCCGTTAAAAATGGGCTTATGGAATTTTGCTTTGGATTAAAGGAGATGGATTGGATCGTGCATAGGAATTGGTGCGATAGTGTTGAGTGTTAGAGAGCTCCAATGTCACAAGCTCCAATGTTTTGATTTGCTTTTTGCACTTTACTCCATTGATGCTCCCCATGTAGTGCAAATTCATTAGCCTGAATGCTAAAAATAATTATTTATATAACCCATTTTGATATATACAATTCTCAGCTGCTTATACTAAAAATATTTTTTTAAAACAATCCCAGGGGGATGAATCAACCAGTGATGAATGGTTAAGAGGTAAGAAACATGAATTTTTTTTTTGTCATAATTAAGATATAAAAATTATCTAATAATAATTCTGGTTAAGAGGTAAGAAACATGACGTTTTTTCTTTTTGTCATAATTAAGATATTAAAATTATCTAATAATAATTCTATGTAAACTATAATTAATTAATTTTTTAATAAAAACATTTTAATTCACAATTTAGATGAATTGCATAACTAAGCTCAATAGTTAATATAAGTGATCTATTTGTTTGATCTTAAGTATTGATAATTGATTAGTACGAGTTAAAGTATAAATTTTAGTCCAAAGCTCTACAATTTATTTTATCAAGAGTTGTAATTTGAGAAAGTGAATTACAAAAGAAACTTTAGTCTATCACTTTTATTTGTTATATAATTCAGAGATTAAGTGCAACAATTTTAATAGAAGAAGAGTGGTCTTAAGCAAATTTTAATAACAATCTCATACTCAAAAGGGCCAATATGGGAGTCCACCAAACTGGAAAACTTGTAGCAACATGAAAAAGATCATATTAGGTTGTTATAAGTCTGTATTTTTACATGCTTTTTAAAGCATATATTTATGTGCGGCCATTATTTTCTTAAAATTTTGCATTGATTGTAATATTAATTATACATTTTAATATAAGAAGACCATAATTGAATTTTGAGTACATTTTAGATTCAAATTAAATAAAAAATAGGATTTTGCCATAGCCAACATGCCCATATCCTAGTAGCTTGTATGGGGTATGCTTCGAGCCACGTGTACAACTGTGCTTATGGTCATGCACAACTGTGTTTACATGTAAGAAGTCCAACTTTAAATAAATATTAGGGTTTTAAAACCATATTAAAGAAACCTCATGAGCAACGACTTAAGCATCTCTAATACGTCTTTTTGATACTTTCACTTTGGGTAGGGCTATGATGAATCCTTTGTATGATTTTATTAAATTTTTATAATTAATGATAATTTTTTATATTTCCTTTCTTGATTGGTATTTATCTTATTGTGCTATATTTGTATATATGGAATTGACAACTCTGATAGACAAAATGCAACTGTCCAACCAATAAGAGACATAATTGCATAATAGATAAGGATGAAAATAGGTCAGGTCATTCGACAGAGACCTACGACCTAACATTTTTAAAGCCTAATCTGGCCTAACTTATTTAATTAATTAAATAGGCCATACTTAAACTTAAAAAAAAGTCCATTAGACCTATTAGAATGACCTATTTAAAATTCATAAAATTTATAATAATATATTAAATAATTTTATATAAAAATTATAATATAATAATATATAAAAATTCAATTGGTTTCGTCACAAATATAATGTGATAAAAATATCAAAGGTAATAACTTCTGAAAGTATTTTAAAAAGTATTTCTAATAATTATTTTTAAAGAATTTTTATTCTAATAATATTTTTCTTTATTTTGAAGGTTGATAAACAACATGAAAAGATCTTAAAAATCTGACAACATATTTTTGCTTTCCATTTACTATGAAAAAAATATTGTTATTTGTGCATTTTAGATTTTTGTTTGTTGCATTTGTTAATTTTAGATCTGAAACTTATTTTGTTATATTGTATTTTTGTTTATATTATTAAATTTGCTTAATGATTTATAAATTGATATTCATTTTATTGTATTTTTTGTATGTGTGGTGTTTTACTAATTTAAATTAAATATGTGACTTGAAAGTGATAAATAAGAATATGTAATTTTATTATATATATTTAAGGTGTTAAATCAGTTTTTAATAGTTTATTTATTATTTTCCTTATGACTTTTAAAAAAATATACATGTTTAAATAGTTTAATAGTTTATTTATAAGGAAGCTTAATGACCTATTAAATGTCTTAATACAAAGTAGGTCATTAAAAAGATTAATAGGTCAAATCATACATTTAAAAAAGTTAGACTAGATTTAACAAAAAGCTCATGACAGGTAATAGACCAGACTTAAACTTCAAATTTATTAAATAAGTTAGGCCTATTTATATAAAGTCTAACTTAACTTATTTTTATCCCTAATAATAAATAGTTATAAGGTCATGGGTAAAAATAAACAAAAATAACTAATTTTTTTTTTTTTATGATTTAGGTACATATTCTACACATGACCATACACTCATCTTAACAAGATTTATACTAATTTAGACGTTAAAATATTTCTTGCAATAACACTTTCTCTTAGAGCCATCTCTCGGACCTAGAATCATCGTAAACCACCACACAAGCTTTCAATATCATATGTGTCACCCATCTCGCCTATCCGATACGCATCAAAACAAAAACACTATAAAAGGAGCATTAGAAAAATGAAAACGACATGAAAGGGGCATGGAAGAGACCAAGACATTTGCAACACGTCAAATGAGACGTTAAGACTTGATGTTGCATAATCACATTACGCTTTTGTTTCGAAGGGGCTTTATTTTATTATTCGAGTTATTCAAGTCGAGCAGCATAAATATATTTCGAAGAGGCATTATTTGCATGTCTTTTTATATTTAATTATTTTACATGTATTAAGTGGGTTTTATTTATGATGAATATTTCTATTTAAAGACATTTGAAGATAAGAAGTCACATTATTCAAATGATACATTTTATATTAACTCAGATTATTTCTTTCGTGAAGAGCTGGGACAAATGACAAATCATTTTCAATTATTAAATTTATTAATTCTTGAATTTCAATGAGTTTATGTTTCTAAGCAATTCATCGACAAATGAATAGGGAAAAATTATGTCTTCCTTCAATATTATTCTTGTTATTCTAATTTATGTCTATTAATTTGTTGCTATATTTAAAAAAACTTCACCTTATTTCAATTACTGTGTATTCATGCTAGAGGATATTCCTTGATTAAAAAAATATTTATAATTAAAATAAATTAAATCTTTATGCTTTAAAAATAGAATAAAATAACTTTTGTTTTTATATATATAATTAAAATTGATTTTAGTTCTTTTTTTTTTAACTTTTAATCTTTATATTTTACTTTTAAAAATAATTCTTATTACTATGTGACATACATAAATTTTAAGAACCTATTTGGTAACAAAGATAAAAGAAAATATATGATAACTCATCTTATTCTATTTTATTTATGATATTTGATAAACAATATGATAGGACAAGTTGATCTGTTCCCGTTATTATTAACAGTTTCATCTCAATTATTATGTTACTGTTTACGGTGAAAA